CACTTCAAAACGACCTTGACAGATTAGAGAACTGGGCCAAAACAAACAAGATGAATTTTAACAGGGAGAAATGTAAAGTATTGCACTTGGGCAAAAAAAATGAGAGGCACAAATACAAGATGGGGGACACCTGGCTTGAGAGCAGTACATGTGAAAAGGATCTAGGAGTCTTGGTTGACCACAAACTTGACATGAGCCAACAATGTGACGCGGCAGCTAAAAAAGCCAATGCAATTCTGGGCCTCATCAATAGGAGTATAGCATCTAGATCAAGGGAAGTAATAGTGCCACTATATTCTGCTCTGGTCAGACCTCACCTGGAGTACTGTGTCCAGTTCTGGGCACCACAGTTCAAGAAGGACACTGACAAACTCGAACGTGTCCAGAGGAGGGCAACCAAAATGGTCAAAGGCCTGGAAACGATGCCTTATGAGGAACGGCTAAGGGAGCTGGGCATGTTTAGCCTGGAGAAGAGGAGGTTACGGGGGTGATATGATAGCCATGTACAAATATATAAAAGGATGTCACATAGAGGAGGGAGAAAGGCTGTTTTCTGCTGCTCCAGAGAAGCGGACACGGAGCAATGGATCCAAACTACAAGAAAGAAGATTCCACCTAAACATTAGGAAGAACTTCCTGACAGTAAGAGCTGTTCGACAGTGGAATTTGCTGCCAAGGAGTGTGGTGGAGTCTCCTTCTTTGGAGGTCTTTAAGCAGAGGCTTGACAACCATATGTCAGGAGTGCTCTGATGGTGTTTCCTGCTTGGCAGGGGGTTGGACTCGATGGCCCTTGTGGTCTCTTCCAACTCTATGATTCTATGATTCTATGATTCTAACTGCTGCACAACGGCCCTGAAGAGTTGGCCAGTTGCATCTTAACTCTCCAATAATTGCTGCCACCTCCACTCCCATTCAAAATCACAGCCCCTAGATAGGAGGGGCACCTGGGCTGCTCAAGGAAGACCCTGAGACAACACACTTGCAGTTCCCTGCCAGATCCATCTCAGTTTATGGGGAATGAAGCCGGAACCCAGCTCTCTGACTCTCCCAGAGATCAGAGCAAGCTGCTGTTCTTTGACAACCCCAGTCCTATACTCCTGTAGCATGAGCCAAGCAAACCTGGGCACATGGCAGATGCAACCCACCATACCCCTTAGCATTGATTATTGTAACTCGCTCTACGCGGGGCTGCCCTTGAAGCTGACCCAGAAACTCCAGCGGGTGCAGAATGCCGCAGCGAGGCTCCTTACGGGGTCCTTGCCGCAGGATCACATTCATCCAGTGCTTTACCAACTGCACTGGCTCCTGGTGGAGTACAGGGTCAGGTTTAAGGTGCTGGTTTTGACCTTTAAAGCCCTATGTGGCCTAGGACCCATGTACCTACAGGACCGCCTCTCCTGGTATGCCTGGCGGAGGACCTTAAGGTCCACAAATGACAACACTTTGGCGGTCCCAAGTCGCAAGGTGGTTAGATCGGTCTCAACTAGGGCCAGGGCCTTTTCAGGACTGGCCCCAACTTGGTGGAACACTCTGTCACAAGAGACTAGGGCCCTGTGGGACTTGACATCTTTCCGCAGGGTCTTTGGTTTGGACTCAGTCTGACCCTTATGTTTCCCTCCCTTTATGATTTTGATCTATGGGCTACTTTTAAAATGAGGCTGCATTTTAAATTGCATTTTAACCTGTATTTTAAATTGTTTTTTTCCCCCTATTATCTTTTTATTGTAATTTTACTGGTGTTAGCCGCCCTGAGCCTGGCTCTGGCCGGGGAGGGCGGGGTATAAATAAAATTTATTATGATGTTGATGAATACATGCAAATGTGTTCATAAAGCCTTGGGAGATAAAATGGCAAAGTAGTCTTGCAAAACTATGTCTGGTGACCTTGGTAAAAGAATTAAGGAGGTTATGGCTACTCTGGTTCAACTAACTGAGGTCAGTAACTGAGGTCAACACAGCTCTCAGCCCAGGATTTCATTATTATTATTTTTGCCTCTGATCATGCATTTCTTACATTAATTGAGATTATTAATCATCACTTTCAATATACTGTATACTCTTATCAACACTCCTTTTATGCAAGCGGTTTCCTAAATGTTCACTCATCCATACTTAATGAAGGAGAGCAGTGGTAAGACGGTTGCGGTATGAACACAGGATATGGCTGTTGAATTGCCAGGGATTGTGCTAAGATTCTAATTAAATGAATTAAACCTTCATAGTTAAAGGGAATTGTCAAATAAATTATAAAATGTCAATCCCTGTAGGCCCTACGTAGCGGCTTACGTTTGTATCCAGGCAGCATGCAGATGCAATACACCTTGCCCTGCATTTGAAGTGAGTTTCAAAATATATCTATATTATTTAAAAGTAAACGAGTTTCAAAAATTATTCCCTAATGTTGCTTCCCATACATGCATTTTATTTGAAACTAGCCAGAATTTAATTTCCACAGCATTTAAAAGTGCATTATGTGCTTACCCTATCCATTCCCACAACTTTAGAGATTGCCATAAGATTGTCCACATCTATGGCTCAGCTACACATTGGATGTGTACTAATGTTTTTTTGGTTGTTTCCACATCAGATTCTTCTTGTTGAAAGATGCACAGTCTGTCCCCACAACCCAAACTCCTTGTTCAAGGAAAAATTAGAAGAAACCAGCAAAGCACCTATGGCCTAATGTTCCTGTTTCGCTGATAGGAAACTAAGGCTGAAACTGGTTGTTGTTTTTTTATATTACTTTTTAAAAAAGACTTTTGTATTTTCCATGTACATGCAAGGATATCCCACTTTGTCTTTGTGGAGACGCTCTGCAGCAACATGAATTTATAGTGGTAAGCAGCGACACTGGGAGTCTTTGGGACCACAAGAAGAGCTTTGCTGGATCAGACCAATGTTCCTAATCATCCAGGATTTGGTATCACACAATGGCATTCAGATGCCTTTGGGAAGCTCACAAGCAGAACATTAAGGCAGGCATAGGCAAACTCCGGCCCTCCAGATGTTTTGGGACTACAACTCCCACCATCCCTAGCTAACAGGACTAGTGGTCAGGGATGATGGGAATTGTAGTCCCAAAACATCTGGAGGGCCGAGTTTGCCTATGCCTGCATTAAGGCAACAGCCTTCTGTTGTTCCCAGCAGCTGGTAGACAACTTGGAAATTGCCTATCTTACTATTGCTTTTATTTGTCCCTGTATTTTTAGACTGCCCATTAGCTGTCAATATTCACAGGGTGGTTTGCAGCAGTCATAGTAAAACACTAAATATCATAAACCAATAACTAAACCAATTCATTCAGCAAAACTGACAAAAAACTCATATATATCTCAGCAGCATACCGGAGCATTTCAATTTTGCCCTATCTCAGCAAGCAAGTCCTTCATTGGAGGCTTTCAAGCAGAGGTTGGATGGCCATCAGTCATGTATGCTTTAGTTGAGATTCATGAATTTCAGGGGGTTAGACTAGATGATCCTTGAGGTCCCATCGAACTCTACTATCCTATGATTTAAAGTCCATTCTCTGCCCCCACAAGGCCTAAGTTAAAAGATAAGTCTTGAGGTAAAGTCAACTAACTAAGGTGCCCTACATAGGCTGGTAACTCAAGCTGTTGTGAAAAGCGAGCGGCATTGCCAAACATTCTGAGAATGAAAGGAAATGTAATGCACACACCTTGCACCTTCACAGAACAAGGAACGTGCTTTATCACTTTCGTTTATGTCCACTTGTTCCCATGGGTTCAAAGGGCGTGGCAGCTGAGTGGAAAAGAGGGCTGTTGACTGACTGAAGCGTGGTGGATGGTGATTGGGAAGAGGGGCTTTTTGATGGCAGCATCCTGTCTGTAGCAAGCTGTCTTGAATCAGGCTATGGTATTGTAGACAGCATGCTAACCGGCAGCAGCTGCCCAGGGTTTCAGATGGGGGGCATCCCCGATCCCTACCTGGAAATTCCGGGGGTTGAACCTGCAACCTTTTGATTACAACACTGATGCTCTGCCACTGAGCTACGCCCCTTCCTGGTTTCCACACTGTAATCTTTTTAGTGCCAGGCAGTGAGCCTTTTTACCCTCAAGTCTTTTTTTTTAACAAAACAAAACAAAACATGTTAACCGCGAACAGAAATATCTGGTGCTGCTTTTATCTGCTACTTTTAATTTTATTGTTAACTTGAGTGTTCCTCATCCTCTTTTGACTGCCAATAGCTTTATAGTTATTTATTCCATAAAATTTATACAGTTTGATTGTAAAAAAAAACCACCTCCTTACAAAAAGAGGAAAAAATAAAATTGAGAAACATTCACTTGAAATCATCCAAAAGTTAAAATACTAAAACAGATTAAAATTAGCTCCACTTTCTAAGCACCTGGGTAGGCTTGTCTAAGCAAGAATGGCATAAGCTGCCAAAAAATTAACAATTGAAAGGTGAGCAGCATTTTCTGTGGTTTTTATTTGAAAAAACAGGCCCCATCTTTGTAACGATTTGCTGGTAATTTTTAAATACAGTACAGTATAGATAAAAGAAGGGCCTCAAGAGAATGCTTCCTTTTAACAGTCAGCATTTCCCTGGCACGGGGAGGCTGTGATAAGGTGCAAACAGGCGATATACCTGTTGAATTTCTGCCTGCGTCGAGCCGGGGCCTGCAGCGGCCACAACCGCCCACCAGGTGGCGAGACGTCCCGCCAGTTCCGCGTCACATGCACCTAAAACGCTGAAACCCGTCCTCGGATGACCCCGCCAGGCTCTTGCATCCATTCTGAGCGTCTCGCAGCGGGAGAAGCTGCATGGCGCCTCCGCTTGTTGTTGCAGCCGCAGCAGCAGCAGCAGAAGTTGCAGCCGCCGTCCTCGGACCCGGTGCAAGCTTAAGGTAGGTCGGCGTTTCGGGACAGGGCTTGCCGGGCCCTTCCTTGCACGGCGCACCGCCAGGAGCGGAGCAGAAAGGCGCTGGCAGGGAGGAGGTGGAGGACGAAAGCTCCGCGGGGCGAGGGCGGGGAGTCCGGGAGCTGGGCTTGGGTGGGGCTCCCCACTGGGGAGCCTTCCCGCTTGGAAGTCTGGGTGCGGGTCTCTCTCCGCCTGCTGCTCCATGATCCTGACACGTCAGTGAGGAAACGAGCCAGGGCAGGGAGCGTTCAGAAAGGACGCGAGGAAAGGAGACGGAGGGAGGGTTTGTTATAGTATCTCTCGGCTGGGAAGCGCGATGTTGCGCTGGGCAGGAGGAGGTACGACCTGGAGGGAGGGAGCGAGGGAGCCGTTAAACGCAGAGCTCTGCATGTTGCAAACGGAGCCATTGAGTTAGAAGGCACTCGTTGCTGGTTGGAGAAGCAAGGGGACCCGGAGGTTTGGCGCTGCAGTCCTGCGCGCGCTTTTGTGGCAGGGAGTCTCCTTGAACTCAGCTGGGCTTCCTTCTGTGTGGACTTGCCCAGGATCCTGGTGCAGTTGGTGTCAAAGCCACCGGAATCGGAGGCTGCTTTAGATCCGAAACCTTGTTTGCTTCTGTGCTGTACTGAGGTGCTGAGCGAACGTCTTTTTCTCTTGCCTAAACAATCCAACTCAACTAAGGTAAGATCACAGGGCTTAATTTGAGCCCTGGGGATTGTCAGGGTTGAGGCCTGTGGCATGTGGTTTCTACTCTGTATCAGGAAGTTTTTAATGTTCGATATTAAATTAGTAGTAGTAGTAGTAGTACTCCAGAGGAGGGTGAACTTGGAGTAAATGCTGAGTTCCTTTATTCTACCCGCAGAATGACTCTGAATAGACTGCTTTCAAATGTCCCACAAGCACTCATTATATACTAAGTAATGACTGGGTGATTTTCCTCTTTTTCTTTTAACTGGTGATCTTGTATTATTTTGTGTATTATCATCAGCACGTTACTGTCCTCTTTTTTTGCTCTTAATTTTCTATTACTTCGTTGTTGCTGCTGTTATTCATATCATCGTCTGTTTTGTAATGTAATGTAATGTGGGAATTTATGCGGAAGAACTTGGTCACAAGGCATGAACAATATAGGAAAGTGATCTGAAAAGCGTGTTGTAAACACTTTTTCATACTTCTGCTCTCAGTTAGTTGCCAGAGAGGTAAATGATTACTCAAGTTAAGTCTTTAAGGCAGACTTTCTGTGCAGGCTCTTTTTTTTCTTGTCTGTTTTATGAAATTGATGAACAGGATGAAGAAAGAGGAGATAATCCTAGAGGAAGCCTACTTTCCATTTGAGTGCAAATATAAGATTACACTGCTGAACTTTAATCTCAAATTTCCTGGCTGTTTGGTTTAGTTAGTGGGCTCTTCTCAGCTTGCGTCTGTTGAGGGACTGAGAGGTTTTACAAAGCCTTGGTGTCTCTCTCTCAAATCCATTGTGTAGTCAACCATGCAGAAGCTTCTTATATTTCTTTTTGTCTCTTATTAAAAGTTCTACGTAGCAACTGGATTTTCTGAAAAATAAGTGGTGTGGTGATGTGTAAAACAAAGTACGCCCACAGTAATTAAGAAACAAGTTTCTTTCAAAATTATTTAAAGAAATTGTAATGCAGAATGTATAGGACTCTCCACCCTGATCACAGCCTAATCACCTCTGCTTTGACTCTCAGTTATGTATGTGTGTTACTGTGTGTCTGGTCTTTTCTAGAGAGATTTAAATAAAATATTTCCTACTTATACTCATTATTGGTGTCTGTTTGACATAAACCTGAGCCTCTTGCTGTATTTATTGCAAAATACTGTACATAATTGTTCGTTGAGTTACATTTGAGTTATTGTAAATTTTAATGGTTCAGAGTGCAATCTTCCAGCATCTTTCTGTGCATATCATGAAAGGGCATAAGAGGAGCAGCAAAAATCTCCAAGTAGGGCTGGATGAGACCACCATGGTCTGAAATCCTGGAGAGCCACTGCCAATCTGTGTAGACAATACTAAACTAGATAGGCCATAGGGGAGCTTCCTATGTTCCTATTCTGCTTGCAGATCAAAAACATTTACCCACTTAACAGCTTCTACAGAACTGAATATAAAAGAGCTGTTTGATTGCTAACACTCTGAACATTTGTCACTTCCCCTCCCCTTTTAGCTAACACAACTAGATCTGAAAAAACTTTTTTCAGCTCCAAAGGGACTGAGTAAAATAGTCCTATAAAAGGCAAAGGGAAGAGAGATTCTGTCAGCAGCCATATTTCTTTATGAGAAAGAAATGGAAAAGATTGGGACTTAAAGCTTGTATTGCCAGATCTTCTGATGCGTCCATACACATGTCTGTAAACCTGCATCTTCTTACACGTGTTCACGGAAGTATTCCTTTGGGGTTGTTTAGTGGACATGAAAGATGCCATTGCAGTGGACATGACTACTGAATACCAATGTCATTTTGCATATTTGGGGCATATCACTAAGACCCAAAAGATGCTAATGTTGTCATGGCTTGGGAGAATTACCCCAATTTGTTGTTGTTAATATATACATCCGCAGAAAATGGCTGAAAGTAAGTAAAAATGGTTCCTCTGTGCTATGGAACAGAAAAGGTGGTTAGTTCAATGCAAGGCAAAACAAAACAAAACAAAACAAAACAAAACACAGGCTACCCCAACCCACTTTGCCTAGAACATATGCTCAATACAGTTGACTGAATTTTCACTGTCACTTGTTGGGGTACAAATGTGACTGGGTGTGGGGATTTTAAGAGGTGCTTAGTTGTCAGTTGGTGTAGTGGACAGCTCCCTGTACCTGTGTGTTGTGAACTGCCCTGATACTTGTGGATGCAGTATGCTAACTGCTACTACCCAGATTTCTTTCTTTCTTTGATCTGGGTTTCAAGTTTTCCTGTCCCCGATAAGGCTCAGGCTTATTGTGGATGCATCTGATTCCACCCTGGGTTTCTAGAAACCCTCCATCAACACAGCAAGGAACTTCCTTTTAGAATGAGACTGGCACTTGCTTTCTCGCAAGTCCTACAAAGTGGTCCAGACAGGAAACTAGCAAACATGGCTAAGAGGCAAGGGAACAGGGAAGAAAGGCAAGGGGTCTAGCCAACGTGAAAAGGTCTGGCTCCCACAGTGGTCTCACGGGGTCAGAGTGTATTGAAAAATAAGAATCCTGGAAGATTCCATAAAGTTAAAAAGCTTGGGTGTGCAGGAGGGGTCTGTTTATAGGAAAATGCTTATCAAATTAGCATTAACTCAAGTGCAAAAAGTGATCTCATTATCATCACAGGGCTGGAAAAAAGCATGTTGCACTACAAAAGGCAGGGTTTGTTTTTAATAATAATAATAATAATAATAATAATTATTATTATTATTATTAATTTAATAGGACAACAAAAGATAGGTGTAGTCAGCAGTCACTGGTCATGACATTTAAATTTTCATGCCACAGACTTGCAACAGCCATGAGGGTCGTTTTTCCTCTTAAGCATGATATGATTAGCTAAACTGTGTCTGTTGCAGGAATTTAGCTTTTATTTCTCAGGTAATGCAATCGAGGCTGCTTCATTTAATTGGGGAAGAGTATGCTTGCTAGATGAAATCTGCTACTTGCAAGGGATAATTAATGGGCAAATTAGAGGCATTACCCTCACAATCTATGGTTTGGTTGTGGGGGAATAGCTAGGCATATGTGTACAAGATCTGTTATTTTTTTTTGGGGGGGGGAATACTCCTTACCTATTGTGAAGAGGATTTATGGCAGGAACTGCTAATACTTCTCTTAGCTCAGGCTTTCTCCTGTTTGTTTGCAACAGGACCACCCTTGTTCAGAGCAAGCTGAATTACACATACAGTCTTGAGGCACATGAAGAGTTCCAGTTGGTAACTGGATTATTGAGTCAGCATATAAGTCAGCGGTGGGAAACCTGTGAGCTGCCAGATATTGGTGGACCACAGCTCCCATCAACCTTTCGGACATGCTGGCTGGGAATGATGGGAACTGGGAGTTTGCCAATATTTCCCCACGGCTGCTGTAAGTGTTCAGGATTATGTGCCCCAAGCCCTCTCAATCAGTGTAACATTAAAAAAAAAAAAAAAATTCTAGAGTTGGAAGGCATCTCAGAGGTTGTCTAGTCCAACCTCATGCGATTGCAAAAAATCCACTGGTACAGTGTACATGCTGAAATAGCCATTCAACCTGTTTGGGTATTTCAGAGGTGATGCAATGACCTTGAACTTTGATATGTTGTTACAATGTTTTCCTTCACTCCCACACTATTTCCATATTGCTGTTTGTCTCATGCAAGCAGTTGTCTCTTGAAGACTACTTCCGAATTTATTTGTCTAGTATATATCATCTCTCTCTCCCTCTACCTTTCTCTCACACACCCCACTGCCCCCAATACTCAGGCAGTCCAGCCTTTGCATAGGGGCACCTAGGCACAAATGGCTTAAGGTATGGATATAACTCTGTCTAAGACTGGGCTGCGTAAGGAGAGCAAACTTATCCCCGTTAGATTATTGTTTACCTCTGGTAAATTATCTCTAGCCAGTTCTTGGAGAATGAGGTAATCTTTCTGCTGTCTAGGAGTAAACACAGCATTTACCTCTTTGTAACATCCTCCGAAGGAAAGAGCGATTTACTGGGAATTGTTACATATTTTTCTTTTACTAAGAAAACTATACAGTATACAGTAGGTGGAGGTGTTGGGATAGATTCTGACCGGAGGGAAGTTTGAGAGCTCTGGTTTCCCACCATCTTCCTCAACTTGTTGTAAATATGTCTGATCAGGAATATAACATTTTTCTGTTTTCTAAAAAAGTTTTTATGACATTTCTGGGAACAGAAACAGAGCTGAAAACCCAGAGGTGTCAGAATTTGAAAAAGAGGTAAATAAAAATTCCTGCAGTGCCAGGGGAAATTGTCAACTTGCTCTGTCGCATGCAGTCAGGGCGACACTTCTGCTTTGGCTGGCACCCGGATATCCAGCCAAAGAGTTTTCCTTCCTCATGTGGCTGAACCACTCAATTTAAGCGGCATGCCCCAGGCTCCTTTAAATCAAGTAGAGGATTGTAATATAAAAAGGCTGCATGTGAATACACATGATGGAAATGGCATCTTCTACAATTCAGGAGCTAGTGTGGTATAGTGGTTAAGAGCAGGGGTAGGCGACCTAAGGCCCGGGGGCCGGATGCAGCCCAATCGCCTTCTCAGTCCAGCCCGCGGACGTGTTTTTACATGAGTAGAATGTGTCCTTTTATTTAAAATGCATCTCTGGGTTATTTGTGGGGCATAGGAATTTGTTCATTTTTTCCCCTTTCAAAATATAGTCCGGCCTACCACATGGTCTGGGGGACGGTGGACCCGGCCCACAGCTGAAAAAGGTTGCTGACCCCTGCTTAAGAGTATTGAACTAGCACTTCAGAGACCAGGGTTCAAAGCTCCACTCAGCCACGAAACTCCGAGTGACTTTGGGCCTGTCACTGCCTCTCAGCCTAACATACCTGACAGGGTTGTTGTGGGGGGTAAATGAGAAGGAGAACCTTGAGCTCTGTGGAGGAAAAGGTGGGATGTAAATGCTAATAAATAAATGTTGTAAGGGATGTGGTTTCCATGGCAGCCCCCTCCCGGGGGGGCTTTGGAACTG